GAGTGAATTTGCCCAAAATCCTATAAGAAGTGTATAATTAGGTGAATGCACAATTCAAGTTTTTGTGGGGATTGGATTTTGGACAGAATTACCAAACTAACCTCATGACATTTTATTGTCTAGAAAAAAAGAGTAGGGACGAAAGAAGCAGTAGGCGATAGTACCCTAAACAAGTTTTATTTTTAATTGGGGGTTAGTAATGATTGAACTTTTCACCCTAATACTACGTGTGTCTGTTCGTGCATAACGAACCACTAGAAACACAGAAAAATCTGACACCGAAGCTGCATGTCTGGGAAGATGAAACGAAAAGTTATTGGGTTGCATGCGAAAAGTAAGATTTCTGAGGGGTGTTTCGAAAAGATGTACTCGAGGTTCGGCTATAAAAGGAAGCTTAACGATGAGTTTTCACTCACACTTCAACAAAGAAACATCAAGGTGATTATTCCTGACAGAAAAACCGAAGTTGTTTTCTCTGTCGTTGGAATGTTCTAACGAGCTGCATTAAATCTGTTTCATTCTGTTTTTTGGATCTGTTGTCTTTAAACTGTCTGTAATTAATTTGTTGTCTTGTACGATTTTAAGGAAGTGCATTAAACCTGCATTTATTTCGACTCATTTGTTTTGTTTCATTGTAGAATTAAGACAGTTAGATCTTGTATATTTATGAGTAATCATCACCATCTCGTTCGAAACTTCATTTATTTAGGTTTTTTGTTGTCTCTCTCTTGTTTCTTCCGTACATGCATTAATCGCCTGTTGTGTTATCTTCATTTAATTGGATTCTTGGTTTTCTCTCTCTTGTTTCTTCCGTAAATGATTGTTCAGAAGATAACAAATATTTAGGCGATTAAAATGATGCATGTCATTAGATCTTTAATGATTAGTAACATGTAATAACTATTTATTGATTCTAACAAGTTTGTTTACTTTTTACTCAGATGGTGCGATGTGTGCGTTTCTGGCGAGGACAATGGAAGAAAAGTAGTGAAGAAGAGTGGGAGTTCATTAGGCATCCAGAGGAAATTGCATATAGGGTGGTTGTCTATGAAACTGTCAGCTACAATGACCTTGACCACCTAGTAAGGCAGCGGTATGGTCTAAGTCCTTATACCCCACTTGTCATTACTCACCGACTTCCCATTGTGTTGCTCGGACCAAGTGGTAACCGGACACCACCGACGACAATCTCGTGCACAGCTGTGTTATCTTGGTTTCTTCATGGCGGAATTTGTGGGATTGAGCTTCCTCTGATGATAACGATGGGTCCCATAGATGTTGCTGAATACGAGTTTAACACTCGTACTAATTTTGCAATAGGGAATATAATGTATGTCTTTGATCACACGGCAAATGATAGCTCACGAGCCGCTTACGAAAGTAAGAACGATTGCTTTGTACTTAGTACAATAAGTTTACATGTTAAACTCTCTGGTGGATGTTTAATTTTTGTTTTTTACTGGAACAGATTTAGTCTTTGGTAACCGTCATGCACAGACACAAAGAGTGATGCATGCTTTATTTCCAGAGGACAGTTTGCGTCTCTTCCACCGAGTTTCGTCGGAAATGGCTTTCGCAGACAACTATATGGCTAATCAACATCGCGAGATGGAGAGGTTGAGAGAGATAATCGAGCTGGACGACGATGACACATAAATGGTTGAAGTTGCACAGGGGGGTGGACCAAATGGTATGTGTTAGTTTGGTGAAATTTTGTTATGTAGTATGTTAGTTTTTGTTAGCCGGCTAACGAAAATGAGTTGATGTTTTGAGTGAAGGTGTCTCTGGTGTTGATACCTCAGTGGTTGGACCTGGTGAAAGTGCACTTGGACGTGCGAGAAATGGTATGTGGTTGATTTATGTTGGGTTGTTATGTATGAAATTTTGCTATGTTGAATGTAGGAAATTTTGTTTAGCCGGTTAACAGAAGCGAATATAAAAAAATTGAAAAGTTTTGAGTCAATTTGTTTAGCAGGATAACAGAAACTGATGTACTGTTTTTGTTGAAGATGTCACAGGTGTTGATACCAACGTCGTTGAACCCGTTGTAGGTGCTCATGGACGTGGGGAAAATGGTATGTGGTATAATAAGATGGTATTGCTATGTTGTAAGCTATTTTCACATTATGTAGGAAATTACTGTTAGCCGGCTAACATAAATTGATGTAATGTTGGCATTGTTTTGATTCAAGGTGGCTCCGGTGAGGATACCACCGTGGCTGGACCTCGTCATCAGGGGGTTGCGCACCCAGCTATGTGGGATGTGGGTATGGACGTGTCAGGCATGCCGGTTCAGAAATCGAGTGACCAACCAACAACTGTAGCGGGTGAGTGGGTCAACTAAGTTTGATTGATTAACCTTCTAGATTCTTAAACATACATTTAGTCTGATCGGTTAGCTGGTTAACCGGGTAATTAGCAAAATTTTATGTCCGACCACACAGTACAAAACGGGTACACTGCCACTTTGCCGGAGATGTTGTTGTAGGGGATACGACACAAGTAGGCACAATGACGGAGCAGACACCGACCCAACAACAAGCGGCAATGGATGAAGGAACTCAGTAAACTACAAATGGTTAGCCGGATAATAAAATAGAGTTTTACTTAAATGTGTTCTGTTTAGCAAGATAACGCAGCTATCTTACAAATTGATATTTTGAATTTTAGAAGGTGCAACGGCCCAAGGAACCCAAGACGTTGGCCAACAAACAGCGCAGCCGACTCCTACGGAGCGCATTACTAGTGAAATGGGGTTTTGGCATTCGTTGGGGTTATGCCCATCCCCTGATGGCATTGATGGCAGCGATGTCTCTTTCACAGGTTCATCGGAAGCGGAAATTGGTCCACTAACTCAGCCGACGAACACCGGTAAGTGAATTTGGTATACAAAATTGAGTTTCTAAAAACGTTTAGATAACATAAATTTTTTGCGCAGAGATGGATGGCCAAAGAAACAAAGGTTCCTCTCGAGGGGTGAAAAAATCGTGAGTTACCTAAGCCATGTTAATAGAGTTACATTATGACGGTTTATGGTTTACTGGTTTATGGTTTATGACAATTTCTCTTTACTGGTTTATGGTTTATCGGTTTGCAGATGAAGCGGATTCGAAGGAGGACTTTGTGTAGCCGTTGTAGGGGGTTGGGACACAACAAAGCTACATGCAAGGAAGCAATATAAAAAGTTGGAAGAATATGTCGGAGGGAGTTTGATGCGAAGGGATGGTTGTCCGGAAAGAGGTGGAATCATTTTGGGTCTGGACTCATGGATTATCTAAAGTTTATGAGCAACAGAAAGAAAATCCCATCATGAAAGGGGTGTAGTATCTATGATGTATCGCATTGTAATCATAAATAAAAACTTCCTCTATTTATTTTGGGCGGCATAATTTCTTAGCTAACATGACGGTTTTAAATATTATATGGCTAACAATGAAAAAGTATGTGTTTCTACTTGGATGTGGTTAACATTACCAAATACTAACCATGGATCAAGTAGACCAAAAAGAATTGTTAAAATAATTTAATAGGAGAGACATAATAAATGAATCATAATTCTGAACTTATCATTACGTTAACATGATAATATATTTCCTGTACATGTTAATATATTTCGTGTACATGTTATTTGGCTGTCTAGAATTTTAAAATATTTCTTGTATAGGCTAATATTTTCCGTGTACAAGCGATATGAATGATTAGCATGTATAAAAACTTAGAATATTTCATCTTCCTAACTAACATGGCTGTTTTAAATATTATATGGCTAACAATGAAAGTATGTGTTTCTAATTGGATGTGGTTAGCATTACAAAATAGTAACTATGGATCAAGTAGACCAAAAAAAATTGTTAAATTAAATTCATAGGAGAGGCATAATAAATAAAACATATTTCTGAACTTATCCTTGAGTGAACATGTTAATATATTTCCTGTACATGTTAATATATTTCGTGTACATGTTAAAACATGGGGCATTGGGATGGTGGAGAACTATAGTTGGTATTGATGGAGTTCAATTAAGACAGCCAACATAAAGAAAATCTCATCATGTTAATATATTTCTAGGCCATGCTAATATATCTCGTGCACATGCTATTGGACTGTCTAGCATGAAAAAAATTCCTAGTACACGCTAATATACGGCGTGTACATGCTATATGAAAGATAAGCATGAATTGGGATGGTTGCAAAACTATGATTAGGATTGATGGAGTTCAAGTAAGACAGCTATCTTACGATAGATGTTTGGGAGCCCAAAATTGGCATTGTTAACTGACACTAGAACAGAAACATACAAAAACATTGAACCAAAAAAGAAATTTAGCCGGCATTATAACATTAGAGTTGGATCTTCAATGACAACAACAAAAACATACATTTTATAAAACCGCATGGGATGGGCCTGGATGGTCATCAACTAAATACGAATGACTTATAATATAGTACAACATCCACTACAGCTACCCTTAGCGTACATGTCGATAATGTGCTGACTCTGAACAAGTTGCTTCGCTAAACCACCCACCTCCGTTCGCGTTTCCGAAACCTCTTCTTTCAAATCACACAACAACAGCTTAAGGTCCTCAACTTCTTCGACAATACGTTCGTCGGTCCATGTAAAAAGATGATATTTGTCCTAGAACATAATATAATATTTGAAAAAAAAGTAGAATAGGTTAATAAAAAAACAAAATTAAATAAATGTTACCCCTTTAGATCCAAGGGGACAACAGTAGAACAGCCTCCCAGGATTTTTGACGATGCCGGAAGTCTTGATAACGACTACCTCACCGCATCTACAATGTGTCGGAATCCCCATGCTTCTTTCTGCTCCGCGATTACGGCAGCTACTGTTAGCTAGACAATGGAAAATACATTATCAGAGACGGAAAGCATGAGACCAGATTAAGGGGAATTTTTGATTACCTCCTTGGGACGAGGAGCTGCTCTTCGATAGGTTTGTCATCACTTTTATCTCGAGCGGCGACTAGGGTAAGGTAATACAGCTTCAAAGAGGATGAAAAAAAGAAATAAATAGGGTCTAAATGGGCCGGAGACCCACAACTTATTACCGGGCCCAATTAAATGACTGTACAATTCATCAACGCGAAATCGTTATCCGACTAACGAAATTTATTGCAACTGAAAACAACATTACTCTTCGGCTGTTTTCACAACAACAATATATCGTTATCCGGCTAACGTAATTTACTATAACTGAAAAACAATGTAAATCTAAAAAATGGGCCAGGGATGAACAAACTAAGTATTGTGCCCAATTCATTGACTGAACGATTCGTCAAGGCGAAATCGTTATCGGGCTAACTTAAGAGGATGAGGTAATACAGCTTCAATGAGGATGAAAAAAAGAAATAAATAGGGTCTAAATGGGCCGGAGACCCACAACTTATTATCGGGCCCTATTAAATGACTGTACAATTCGTCAACGCGAAATCGTTATCCGGCGAACGAGATTTATTGCAACTGAAAACAATATTACTCTTCGGCTGTTTTCACATCAACAATATATCGTTATCCGGCTAACGTAATTTACTATAACTGGAAAACAATTTAAATCTAAAAAATGGGCCGGGGATCAACAAACTAAGTATTGGGCCCAATTCATTGACTGAACGATTCGTCAAGGCGAAATCGTTATCGGGCTAACTTAGATTACTGCAAATGAAGGACATTATAGATCTTGGGCTGTGTGACTATTCGACTGTGTTTACATCAACAAAATATCGTTATCCGGCTAACGTAATTTACTACAACTGAGAAACAATGTAAAACTAAAAATGGGCCGACATCGTCAAACTTGGGATTGGGCTCAATTCATTGACTGAACAATTCGTCAACGCGAAAACGTTATCGGGCTAACTAAGTTTAATGCATATGAAGAACAATGTACATCTTGGGCTGTGTTATTTAGCAAAAGGAAATTAGACAGTGATAAAAAGGTGTTTTAGCACGCTTAGTAAAACCACTTGATCATATTTTGCTAATATGTATTTGAGAACAAAGACCATAATAAACACATGCATAAAATCCAAACGAAACCATATACTCAACCAAGTTAACATGCTGAAACAAACGGAAAATAACATGACAACATAAGGGAGTTAAGGGGGACACGAACACTACATCACAGGGGGGCTACATTTTCGTTGTACATCATAACTGCAATCCGTTGTACCTCAGTGTCAAGAACTTCCGGAGTGATGCATTTGCATACATCAACACCACCAAAAGCATGAGCATGTATTAGCACAACAGTGGTGACATCAGACTCAAATAGATTCCTGTTCTGAGAGATGGCTCGTGGCCTATCAATAGTAAGAGGCTTCATCTCTTTGGCTGTGAGCTGTCTTCCGGCTTGCTTAAGAATATAGGGAAACATTTGTGTGATGGGTCGAAGGTCTGATGCCACCCATTGTGTCCGTCTTCAAAGATGAGTTGCAGTCAAGCACAATAACCTGAGATAGAGAGACGTCGACACACACTCCGACCCAATGTTGTTTGTGGAAGTTGAAGGGGAAATAAAATCGACTAACTTCCGTGATGGGGCAGTCACCAGCCAAAAGAGAGCACAAAGCTGCTGGGAACCGGACTTTGTCTTTCTTAACCGCCTTTGAAAACTTGCTAAATGACTTGGAAAGAATTGACAAGAACTTGGTGTCCAGGAAAACATAATTCTTCGACTGCATGTGATCTGAATTAGCTAGAAACACAGAACGTGTGTGGTGAATGAGGACATCCAACATCTGTCGAAAATCGAAGAGAAAAATGTGAGGCACTGGTATAAAAAAAAAATTAAGTGAGGTTCAAGAGATGTACCTTAGGAGTTAGATGGGAAGACCTATCAACAATTGCAGAGAGATCGCTGGATTGGAGAATTGCGCCACCAATATCTATAACACTGCTAATAAAAAATATTACTTGCGATGTAGATATACATTGGCAGGATACTAAATAAAATAACGGAGATAAATTTTAAGTTAGCATGCAATACGACTTCACTTACACTTTAGATCCATCCATTAACTCTCGCAGATTCGAAAATTTGGCAGCGTAGTCAATGCTAGGTGTTCTGCATATCGCGTTAATGTAAGATTCCCAGGCACGAGCGAGAATACCGATGTCACACTGATAATCACCAACAAGGTTCCTTGGCACAACTTTGGTTCTCTTGCTCTTACGGTTAAGTATAGGACCTTCCTCATCGACATCTCCTTCCTGTAATGAATCGTCGTTGTCCTCGTGTGGTACATGGTCCAAATTTTGAGCATTTTCTTTGTTAAGTTGAGTGAGACCAATAGAGAAGGAGGGCTCCGGAAAAGGGGGGCCATTTCCAAAGGTTTCCTACATATGAAAGCATGCACAAAATGTCAAAGTAGGTAAAACTGAGTTTTTATAGCTCCACACAAAATTAAACAAGGCAAAAAAACCTGATTTGCTTTCTCGGCGTCAGGAGGGGGCTCAATACTTCTTTCAGGCGAGTTAATAGTAGGAAGAACGGCAGGTTCAACCTGTATATTGTAAGACAAAATGTTGAAACACAATGTGTGTATTTTACTAGTTGTTGGTTTGCTAAAAATGCAAATGTATATACGGGCATGATGATTAGCAAGATTAAACAAGTATGAAAAATTGGCTTATTTACAGTGTCTTCCTCTGAAATGTCCCGGTTTAGTAAAGTCTCGTGACCTTCCCCACACCCACCAGCGCCGTGGGACAAGTCGTCTGTCATGTTCTCTTCATTTGACTCCTGAAACAGTGAACAAAGAAGAACTATAACAGAATGACATTTATGGGCAATAAAACTGTTAGACAGCTAACAATTAGAAACAAACTTACTTCACACGTATTGGATGTCTCCTTATTGGCAAACCGGAGAGCTTCTTCAATTATGTCGGCCGCAGCACAAGAAGATGTCTGTGCACCAGAACGAGATTCTTTCCCACTGTTGTCTTGTTCAGCCTGGTCAGGCTGTTGAACGTGAGGGCGGGTGCAAGCATTGGTAATGGAGTCTGTGATTTCCTTTAAGGAACTTCTGAAAAGATCTTCCATCTTTTTCTGAAATTCCTCTTGCGAGTTGCGTAGAGACAGAGAAATGTCTTTTATTTTATCATACATGTTGGATATATTTGCAGATATCATGTTTGCCACAATAGAAGCTACATACTCTGCATCTATCCCTTCTGTGACAGGTTGTTTCTGACGAGCATTTGCTTCTTTACGATTCTCGTTAGCTTTTATAGCTTCGTCACACATACGACAAACATCAGATTTGGTCGCACCACCTTTGAAACTTGAATTCGAGAATTCATATCCTTCGCTGACTGCTCTCACCATATTATCAACGAGAACATCTTCCTCGTCGTCACAACCCGCGTCTGCCTCCCAGTTGGGTAGTTCAGCACCATCAGATATTATGGAAACAACTCTTACCTATAAGATAAGATCAACCTCAGGAATACAGGGGGAACCAAAAAATAGACACACACAAAAATATTGTTTGGCATGCTAATATATTTGTGAATATGCTACTGATGATTTGGCTATTGTTAAGCGGCTACTATTTTTTGTGTATGTGCTCTTAATATGTTTAGCAACGCTAATCAGTAGTGAAGCATGAGAAACAAGATCAATCATTAATTGCTCACCGAGTTACTAAAAAACTAAGAGACAAGAAACGTGAAGAGAGATACCTTTCCAGCCGAATCAATGGAACGTATAAGACCTGTGTTGATACTTTTCTTGCATTCCCTATCAACAACTGCTGATTCCTCCCTGTCTTCTGAGTCTGCTTCTGAACCAGACGAATCTCCTCCTTTTACAACCCCCAATAGAGAAGGAACGGCTTCTATAAGGACAAGTTGGATTGCCATCACAAAACCTTTAAACGCGATTGTATTCTGTGATAGCGAAACTTCATCTCTCTCTTTGATACTGCTCATCAGCATATCGAAAGATGCACGGCCCCATGGAAAGGCAAGAAACTGATCAAGATCTCTGATCTTCTCCGCCGCAGAATGTAATATACGGGGTCTGTGAGACGTAGGAAGCACTACGGCAGAGAGCAGAGCGAGTAGTGCGTACTTTATCCTCATTCCTCTGTCAGTAACCGTCTTGTTTTTCAGCATTGAGACAACAGAATTCACGGGGACTTCCG